CGGGCTGGGGCGGAGCGTGATGGGGCAGGGGTGGGTGGGAGCGACTGCGGCCTCAGAGCCCCTCCCCATTTCTAGCCAACCCTGCTGCACCCCTGCCGGAGCGAGGGCCGCTGCATTTCCCGAGAGCCTGCCTGCGGCCCTACAGCCCTCGGGAGACCGAGGCAAGCTCAGCGATCCTCCATACTCAAGTGTGGGCTCTTCTCTTTTTTTTCTAAATTGGCCAGAGGGCTCATGCTCGCCAGGGAGCGAGAGAAGAGAAAGCGCTCCCCCTCCAACAGCATGGCCACGTGACTGTTCTTTGTCCACTTCTCCCTCCGTCTGGGATTCTGGGCACGTGTGTGCCACCTCTGCGGGGTTCTCAAGCCACCAGCCTGGGTGAAACTTGCACCATGCATTTGGCGTGTGGGATCCGGCTGTCCTGCCCACTAGGCCATGGAGCAGGCCCTAAACTCAATTTTTCTTTTTCATTTTTTTTTTTTTTTTTTTTTTTACAGAAAGCGAGAAATCACCCCCAGGGGGATGGCCATGCTGCAATCCCTTCTACATTCTCCTCTTAGGATCTTGGGCACACACATGTGTCTGGCATGAGTTTTAAGCTGTCAGGTTTGGGATTTGAACTGCGGTCAACTACACGGGAGTCCCCCAATGCAACCATTATGCTAAACTCAACTTCTTTAAACCACTTACTGAGTTGAATGAAGGGACGCACCAGCACCCTAATACTAAAGCCAAACTGAGGCCCAGGGAGGGCGCTTGGCCTGGAGACCGGGGTGGCCAGGGCTGGACGACACGCCCGACACTGGGTCTGACCCACATGCCCACAGACCAGCACCTGCTCTACAGATCAATGGGGCAGACCACCAGCGACCTGGCTGTGCTTTGGCATGGCCCTGGACAAACGAAGTGAAGCACGTCAGAGCCCAAGACTGACAGACTTCACACTCGCCATGGCGTTCGCGTGCCTGCCCAGGTACCCCGTCCCGGCTACCGGCGTCTTCACTGCCCTGGCGTTACGTCCTCAGCAAGCCTTCCGCTTCGTATCTGAGCGCCTGAGGTTGGCGAAATCGTCGTTGCTGTTCTCTCTTGTAATCGTGAAGACTTAGTCTGCGCGAGGAGAGGCTCGTCTTCACACGGACCAGCACCTCGGCACGTCCAGGTCTGGGCTGGTCTTTCCCAAGCAGCAAGGCCGCAGACTCCCAGTGTCCGCACTCCAGCCTGGAAGGGCGCCTTTGAGGGAGTGCAAGACTAACTGCGAGGGCGCCACCGCACCGGCTCCTCGGCCCCGGCCGCGCCCTGCGCGCTTCACCCCTGCTGCTCCACGCCCTGCGGTGGGACCGCCAAGGCCATCTTGCTTGCCTGTCTGCACCCGGCACGCGCCTTCATTGGGGAAGGTCTCACGGAGCACTTGGGGTCCACCGAGAGGCAGCGTCCCATAGGGCGGCAGGCAAAACCCCCTTGTCCTGTCGCGCCATCCTCTTAGGGAAATTCGAGGCTGCAGTGAGTGGCCAGCGGCTCAGGACTCACGGCCGGTGCTTGATCTGGTTTCCAAGAGAAAAAAATGCCCCAGGGCTTTGCCACGAGACGCTGGATTCTGTGAGGGGAATTTACATGGCGCAGACTTCACCTGGATCCCTGATGAAGAAAGCGGCAACGCCCCGTCCCGGGTCCCCCACCTGAGGACAGCGGGAACAGGGTCCAGGACAAGGGCTCGGGGTGCCACCCAACAGCCATTGGAATGGTTCTGGCAGACACTGTGAAGAGGCTGGCGTGTACCGGAGGACGGCCCTGGCCCTCCCTCCATTCCACACCTTCTCCACCTCTGGCTGCCTCCTGGCCTTGGCGAGAGCAACTTGGGGGGGGTGTTTCAGAAGGTTCCTGACATGGAGACTCACGTTTCATACCACTTCACTTCACCTTTGGCCTGAACTCCAAGAATGACCATACGCACACATGTGTGCACACGCACACACGTCTCTGGTAGGGCCGCATGCTGCCAGGAAGCCAGGAACCCTGGAACCCTGACTCAGGAAGGCGCCTGCGTCCTCCCCCGGTTGCCCCAAGGATAACACAGGAGTTCTCCAGGCCCGCCCAGGCAGCCCAAGACTCCGAGGCGCAGTCAGGAGGGGACTTGGGGTGTCCCGAGTGTTGCAGAAGCAGTGTGCGGTGAGGACAGTTGTGCGTGGGCCTTAGTCTGGAGGGTCTGCACTGCGCTCTTCCTCGGGAACATCCACTTGTGTGTGCATGTGCGTGTGTGTGTGTGTGTAGCACTGTGTGCTCAAACGGAGTGCTGCGTGCACGTCTGCAGAGACATGCAGGTGTGCACATGTGCATGCGTGTTCATTTAAAGACTCACTGTTTTGAACGGGTCGAAGCATGAATTGAACCACAGTGACTAAGCATGCACCCATCAATGAATTCCTCAGATCACAGGGATGCAAACGACGTGTCCCAAAGGTGCAGACTGGGCCGGCAGAAACCTTCCTTCGTGGGTCACCCAGCCCGTATTTCCGCCAGGCACGGTGCCAGGCTAGGACAAGGAGTGGCTTCTTTACTCGGATGCAGACAGCCTTTGGCTTTGGCTCCAGAGCGTCCACCATGTAGCTGCAGTGCAGAGTCCCCACAAAGGCCTTCTCCGTTGGCGGCACGAGGCTCCTGGGGACTTGGAAAGGGGTGAACTGTTCCTCACCGGCAGGACTCTCGGCACGTCAGGTACGGCCTTCTCCTCTGCTAGCAGAGCCGAGACTTTAACAGCCACTGTGGCTCAGCCTGAGCAGCTGGGCCCACTCCTAACGTCACATGGCAGAGGACGCAGATGCTGACTGGGGGCAGACGCGACACGGCTCGGAAGCCGGGCGCCGGCACGGCACCGCCAGCCCGTGTGTGCTCGCTCTCCGGGCCGCCCCAGTGCGCTCAGGGTGGGCACCTCGATCCCCTGGTGGTCGTCACCATGCGGGGAGGGAGGGGACCGGCAGCCTGCATGCGTGGGGAACGCGCCGTGGCGCCATCACGCGTGGTGACGACCACACGGCTCGCTGTGCCCACCCCTCGAGTCTCCCTGGGAAGTGCCGAGCTGAGTGTCTGTCTGGCTCTTACAAATAGTCATGCTCTCGGGTTCAAGGTCGGGGACCTGCACAGCGGCATTCTGGACGGCTTCAGGCCACTTCCTCAGACGCTGCTTTGTCCTTCAGAATACGATCCCGCCCGCAAAACCGACACGAAGTGTAATTCCCAGAGACGAGTCTAGTCTCCTGCCTTTGCCCAGCACGCCCAGAACAGCCACAATTCCAAACACGGACGAGCCCTGCCTCCCAAACCCAGGCGGAACGTGGGAGGGCGAGCCTCACACCATCTGGACAGTGACAGGGGGCCTCCCCAAGGGTCGTGTCTAATGATGATGCCACCCGAGCTGCATGCATTCGATACAGCCCCGGATTCCTGCAGGCTGGCGCTCTGTCCTTCCCCACGGAGGCATGAGTTCAGTCTCGGCCTCCATCGGGGGGCTGAGCGTCCAGAGCAGGCCCAGCACGGACTGGCAGCCTCTGGGCGGGCTCTGACCTTCCTCCCAGGGCTCCAGACATGCTCTGTAGTAACCGCCCACTGCATCCCTAGGACACTAAGTTTAGAAGTATGCAGTGTCTGTAGGGGGCAGGGAGAGGTGACCTGTTCCTGTCAGGGCCTTAAGCCACGGAGACAGCGGAGGGCTCCCTCACAGATTGTGGGACCCCAGCATCCCACTCTAACCTTGCCGAGGAGCGTCCGCCGTGCCACACGGGTGGGCCAGGAGGCTTGCCCTCCTCCGGAAAGGCTCTCCTGTGGGCTCAGCCCATGTCTGTCATGTTCAGAAATGAGCTCTCCAGGAGTTCAGGTTCCTGAAGAACTTTTGAGCCCAAGGCAGAAGATAATAAAAAATGCCCTTCACCGTTCCCGTGTGTGGCTCTGCTCCGGGCAGGTACGACCCACCAGCAACGCCCCTCTCTTTCCAGAACGGAAGCGACATTCAGGACTGCATTAGTCCTGACTCCTGCCCGTTTTCGCGTCTGGTACTAACAGAAAACGAGACACAAAGGCCATGTCACCAGGCAGGTGTTGGCCACAGCATCCCCACCGCGGGGGCTCCTGGCGTCAGAAGCCTCAGACCGGAGTCACCGCTCTCGCGCGTGAGCCAGGAAGCAGGCGCCATGGGCGCCAGTGCCTCATTTCAGCAGTATTCCTGCCTGTTCCACTCAGGGACGGTCACTGAGGCAAAGCCTTGCCGAGTAACAGGCAGAGCCGCTGCACCGGGGGTGCCCAGGGGCCGCACCGGCTGCCCTCCCCCTGGGGGCACGTGGCCAGCACCGTCCCAGCATCAGCCTCCCGGTCATCGTAGTGTCTCCCGGCGAGTCCATTCAGAGCACGGGAATTTAGAGGCCGGGGGCCAGCTGAACGTCCTTGCTAATTTCGTGGAGCTCGTCAAATACAGACCGTAAATACCTCACAACGGCCCAACGGGTGGTCTAAAGGAACTCTGAAACGAAGGGTCAGCCCCCGCCCACTCCTGAGTTCCAGCTCTGACCGCCCTTCCCACGCTCCGAGAGCCCGGCCCGAGCGGCGCCTGGCGCTTCGCGAGTACGGCGGAGATTACCGTTCTCCTCCTCCTCCTCGTCCTCGTCCTCGTCCTCCTCCTCCTCCTCGCCGTCCTCGTCCTCCTCGTCTTCTTCCTCCATCTCCTCCTCCTCGTCCCGCTCCGCCTCCTCGTCCTCCTCGTCGTCCTCGCCCTGCTCGTCGTTGTCCTCCGAGTACTCGTCCTCCTCGTCCTCCTCCTTCTCGTCCACGTCCTCGGTCCCGTCGCTCTCGTAGCACTCGTCCACCGAGGAGCTGTCCGCTTTCACCGCGAACGGCTTTCGTTTGGGGGCAGGCTCCTGGGGCTGCTTGTCTTGTGTTTTCCTCTTCTTAGCCAAGGGACAGCCATAGACGCTGATGGAAAGAAGGGGAGACAGCAGGGGTGTTACTTCGCTCGAGGTCAGAGCTGGCAAGACAGGACAACATGCGTGGGACAGACTGCATTAGGACCTGTGCAGAGGGCATCGGCACATGCATACGTGTGTCAGTACTGGTGCAGAGGGTGTCATCACACGCACACATGTGTCTTTACCCGTGTGGAGGGTGTCAGCACACACATGTGTCAGTACCAGTGGATAGGGGCATCAGTACATGTGCACACGTGCACACATGTGTTAGTATAGGTGTAGAGGGCGTCACCACAAGTGCACACAGGTGTTGGTATAGGGGCAGAGGGTGTCAGCACATGTGAACATGTGTGTCAGTGTAGGTACAGAGGGGTGTCAGTGTGTGTGCACATGTGTGTTGGTATGGGTGCAGAGAGCATCAGCATGTGCACACACGTGTGTTGGTACAGGTGCAGAGGGGTGTCAGCGTGCGCGCACACTTGTGTCGGTACAGTGCAGAGGGGTGTCAGCGTGCGCGCACACTTGTGTCGGTACAGTGCAGAGGGGTGTCAGCGTGCGCGCACACTTGTGTCGGTACAGTGCAGAGGGGTGTCAGCGTGCGCGCACACTTGTGTCGGTACAGTGCAGAGGGGTGTCAGCGTGCGCGCACACTTGTGTCGGTACAGTGCAGAGGGGTGTCAGCGTGCGCGCACACTTGTGTCGGTACAGTGCAGAGGGGTGTCAGCGTGCGCGCACACTTGTGTCGGTACAGTGCAGAGGGGTGTCAGCGTGCGCGCACACTTGTGTCGGTACAGTGCAGAGGGGTGTCAGCGTGCGCGCACACTTGTGTCGGTACAGTGCAGAGGGGTGTCAGCGTGCGCGCACACTTGTGTCGGTACAGTGCAGAGGGGTGTCAGCGTGCGCGCACACTTGTGTCGGTACAGTGCAGAAGGCTGTCAGTGTGCGTGCACACGTGTGTTGGTACAGGTGCAGAGGGGTGTCGGTGTGCGTGCACACGTGTCGGTACAGGTGCAGAGGGTGTCAGCATGTGCTCACGCGTGTGTAAAAAACTGATGGTGTGAGCAATGAGACGTGCAGCCTGCGTCCGTCCCGTGACCACCAGCGTGGGTGCCGTGGCGCCCGGGTCTCTTATCACGGTAACTGCTGATAACGTGAGATACTGAGGACTCAGGCAGGCTGACGAAGGGCACGCGTGAGACTCACCCCGCAGTGACCTGCAGCCCGTCCAGAGTCATCCGAACTCATCCCTGCCCACCCGGGCACCCCGGAGCTGTGTCCTGCCTGGCACCCTCCCACCCCGCCTCCTCGTGGCCCTTCACCACGACCTCCCATCTTGCATGAGAGCGCGTCTCGAAGGCCCCGAAGGGCCACGTCACTCCCCCAGGAACTCACATTTACCACAGGCCACGCGTACTGCGTGACTACGACAAGATCCCGCTCACACACACAAATGCACGTGTTCGTGTACAGTGGAAGGACGTCGGCTCGGAAGTGCTGTGCGGGTATTTGGAGTCACACCCCCGACGACTGGCCTTGGGTGCTGGAGCCCCCACCGAAGCACTGACTGCGAATACGGTGCTGGGGCGGCTGCACGTGTGGCCAGGGCTGGCGGCGTCAGGGACCTCCGGCCTTCCATGGAGCACCTCCGGGGTCCTGAGTGGCACCACCTGTCCCGCTAGGCCTGGCCCCAACTGAGTGAGATCCTGCCGACAGGAGTGCCACGTTTCCTTGGCGGCAGGCGGTTTCGAAGCCGGGCTGCCAACCTGTGTTCTCCCTTCTGGAACTGCTGCTGTCAGCAAAGGGCGGAGGAGGAAGACGCAGGGGCAGAACGGGGGGCAGACCCACATGACCAGGAAGAGCCGCGTGGGTACCAGGAGGAGCCGCGTGGGTCCCCACTGACTGGCTGCTTTCGTAGGCGGGTCCTGCAGGCCTGACCAGCGTGGGACCCAGGAAGGGAGCAGTCAGTGTGCCGTGAACCCACGCACAGGTTCCTTTGGAAGGCCCCTCTGGGCCCACTGTGCTCTGCTGAGCCGCGGGGCACAGGGCCCAGCGGGAACGCAGTAGGCTAGCAGGACCGCTGTGAACCCCGGTCCTGTGAACAGCGCATGAGCTCCTGGCACGCCCAGGCCCTCAGCCAGTGCTAGCCGAGTGAACACACAGGGTGACGAGGCCGGGTGACGGCACATGTGCTGCTGGCTACCGTGTGAAAGAGGGCGACGGGGTTGGGTGCCGGCCCAGTCTTGGGGACGGGAGGCTGGAAATGGGCTCTCAGGCTGCAGAGACACACCTGGGCGAAGCAGTACCTCAGTGTGTCTCCCGCCAGTCGAGGCCTTGCACACGAGGATACTGGAGGACATGCAAGGTCGAGGCACACGCAGACAGCACGCTGGGGTAGGCATGGGTGTGCAGCGGGAGGTGAGGGCCGGGCGTGGGCACTGGGAGGCTTAGGCTTTGTGCAGGAAATAGGAAGGTGTCTGGTGCCCGGGCCCTCGGCCACGCCACTGCACGTGTGTAGTGGGAAGGCAGGGTTCTGGGCCGTGAGGAGGCAGGGTAGAGGGCGCGAGGCCGAGGAGGGGAGCATGGGGTGGCTGTGTTGGAATGGGAGGCCTGGCATTGTTGGTGGTGGTGAGAGGGGTTGAGCGACTTTGCCTCAGTGTAGCCGATACACAGTGGCCGCTCTCAGGGTGGGTGCAGAAGCCCACCCCAACCCGGACCCCACGAAGGGTACACGGGTGGTTGTGGACTGGTGCGTGGTGAATGGGGGCTGAGCATGGTCAGGGAGAGTGAGCTGGAATTTGCTCTGGAGGTCTGGGGCCTCAGGGTTTCCAGGGCAGCATGTCCGGGATGGCGTGTCTGGCTGTGAGGACTGCGGCCGCTCAGTGGCAGGGGTTGGCCCCTCACGGGGGCGTCTGCGCGTCTGTGCACCTGCGCTGCGCCCGGCCCTCGCCCGCCTCGTGGCACCTCCCCGGCTCCGCCCTCTGCAGGCCCGGCTTGGAGAGTGGAGGGGAGGGGGACAGAGTGGGCGGACGGAGGCAGCACAGGGCGCCATCACACCACGCAGCCCAGCGGGTTTTGGCTGAGCGGGAGGTGTGAGTGGGGGTCGGCCATGCACGGGAGGGGCCGTGGGAGGCCAGCCCTGGGGTGCCATACACTGGGGTGCACACTGGGGTGCAGCGGGGGGACCATCTGAAAACACCGTCAGAAATACTTGCTTGTGCTCCTCTCCCTGAACATCTCCTCAGACCAGTGGGTTTTTAACATGTGGGACTTCCCACAAATGCCTGCATGATGTCGGGATGCCTGGGGCCAGTGCGGCGAGGCCCGAGCTCCAGCCTCCGCCCTGGTCACCCTCGCTGGGTACCGCACCTGTGCTCCCTGGCCAGGCCCCAGCTGACTTGTCTGTGTGGTGGAAGGCGCCCGTCCTTGGCGGCTCTGGGGCGGTCAAGGGCTTGGCCACCTGAGCTGTCACGCCATGAGGACCTCGGATGCCAGTCTGCGTCCGATCTGCTGCCCGCTGGCCCGCTGCTGCCCTTCCTGCCTGCGTCTCACAACACTTGTCTCAGCTTGGTAGCCAGCCACAGCCGCAGTGCTCGGGCGGCCTCCCTCCATCCACGGGGCATCTCTGGAGAGTCCCGCTACGCCCACCCATGGGCCTGCATGGACATGCACGCAGCCACACGCAGCTCCCCTGGGCCTGTCCAACTCATCTCCTGCCGCCAGCTCCTGGTTTCGCCTGAGTGTGACCACAGCGCAGCGGGCAACACGCAGCTCGAGGACCTGCTGACATCAAGAGGCCTTCCCACTCTGACACCCCATAAAGTGGATATCTCACAGCGGAGCGTCCAGCTGCAGCTCTGGGGTGTGGGGAGAAGGGACAGCGCTGCTCTGCAGAGGGTGGGTGGCCCCTGGGCGGGGGACGACCTGGCACAGCCCAGGGAGGGCTCAGTCACACGCACACGGGCCTGCTCACGAAGGCAGGGAAAGTTTGGCCTGGCTGTCCCAGGGCGCGACACGCCAGGAGTGGGGCAGGGTCTGTGGCGCCCTGGGAAGCGGGAACCCAGTGGGGCCCAGGTCAGGCGCGCTAGCGTCTTCCTCCTCAGAGACGGCCCGGCCACACTTCCAAGGTGTGAGCCCGGACGGTCACACCGCAGCTGACGTGGCTGCCCAGGAGAGGCTTGGTGGATGGCGGCTGAACCGGCCCACCCTCCCTGGCAGGGCAGAGGTGCCATGCTGTCCCCATGGGCGTGGCCGGCCCGATGCGCCCTCAGCTGGGGAGAAGGGGGCCTGTGGCGCTGCC